CTACTTTGGACATGTAGTCCGGAGGAAACAATCGTTGGAGAAGGATGTCATGCTGGGTAGGGTGGAGGGTCAGAGAAGAAGAGGAAGACCCCCAACGAGATGGATTGGCCAGGTGGCATCATTGATGGCGTCCAGTGTGGCAGCGGTAGTGAGGTTGGCCCAGGATCGGACATTGTTTCGTTCTGCTGTGTATGGGGTCGCTATGAGTCGGTTCCGACTCGATGGCACCTGACAACAACAACAACAAGCTCTGCAACAGTGTCCAGTCACCTGGCCACCAGTCTCACCTGTCCCTGGATCCCACCTTGACTGGAGGGCAAGCTCCGTGGTGCCGCCGTAGGTTAAGCTGACCTCAACATTGGTGATTCCAACCCATCAGCTGCTTAGGGCCGCTATGAGTCAGAATCAACTTGATGGCTGAGGGTAGGTTGTGGTGTGTGTTAATCCAGGAGAAAGAAGGCTACACCACCCAGAACTGGTGGACGCTGAGGGGGCGGGGTCTAGGTTGACTTAGGCTGAGCCAGGCAAAGTAGGCGGGGGAGCTTGGTGGTGTTAATGGGTGGAGCCTGGACCCAGGAGAAGGGTGGAGCCCTGCCTAGGGGTGGGGCCTTGTATAGGGCGTGGAACTTTGTTTTTGGAAACTTGATTTTAGGGTGGAGTCTTGATTAGGGGTGGAGCCTAATTGGGGGTGGAGCTTTGCTTAGTGGGTGAAACCTGCCTTAAAGAATGGAGCCTCGCCCTGGCATGGGTAACGTCTGAGCGGAGGTGCTAACCGGGACAGGGGACAGAGCCTGGCGGCAGTTGGGCAGGGTTGAGGTCGGCTGAGCCAGGACGAAAATTCTACGGTCTGTGGCCCAGGTTGAGTTCAGCTGCAGCTCTTTTTACTGACCCTGCGCCATCCCACAGCACATTTACGTCTGGTTGTCCTCCGAGAAGACGCACGAACGGCAGCGGGCAGTGCACAGCTGCATGACCTTCCTCAAGTTCCTGAGTCAGAACCTCGGCCCGGATGTGAGTACCAACATCATCTCCATTACCTACTATCAGCACCACACCACTACCATCTCCTCTTGCCCTGGAGAGCGGCCCTCAGCTAGAGCCATTCTCCCTCCAGAACCTGCCAGAGCTCACAGGGCTCAAGAACATGGGGGGTTTCTGAGTCTCGTCTGAACTGGCCTAGCACCTTTGCACACCCAAGAAGACAGGCTGAGTGGGGAAGACCCCCAACTCAGACATTGTGCTGACCCTGGATGCTGGGCTTACTTCAGTGCACCTTGAAATCTTGGGCAGCTACTCACTCTGAGCCTGTTTCTCACCTGTCAAAAATGATGAAGTGGGATGAAAGATGAGATGGAGACCCTGTCCTCAGACTAGGCATCCCTGCATTGCTCTGGTAGCATAGTGGTAACAAATGGGGCTGCAAACTGCAAGGTCAGCAGTTCAAAACTACCAGCTGTTCCGTAGGAAAAAGATGAGGCGTTCTCCTCCCATAAAGATTTACAGCCTCAGAAACCCTGTACGTAGTCACTATGAGTCGGAACCAACTCCACGGCACATAACCACCACCACCACCACCCCTACCTCCACTGCCTTGTGTTCAGCATATGGACATTCACATCTGAGCTCGGTCTGTCTTCATTGTTGTTGTTCTCAGTTACTCAAGGAGCCCTAGACAGTTAAGTGCTGGGGCTACTAACCACAAGGCTGCCTGTTCAACTGCCCAGAGACAAGTCAGAAGAAAAGTCGGGCAGTCTCCTTCCAAAAGACCACGACCATTGAGAATTATGTGGGGAGCAGCTCCACTCTGAGACACACGGGGCTCCATGAGTGAACCTACATAGGAAAAATCATCCACTGAGACCCCTGTGGGGCACAGTTCTACTCTGACACACACGGGGCTCCATGAGTGGGATCTACTTACGAAAAATCATCCACTGAGAACCCTGTGACCACAGTTTGACTCTGACACACACGGGGACACCATGAGTGGAATCTACTTA